ACGGAGAGGATGGACTTTTCTCATCATTGGGAAAACTGTCAGATTTTATCTCGTTTGTTGATTTTGACTTCTTTTATCAATCTGTCTTGTTGTTCTTAAAACGCTTTGTTTGCAAACACAGATAATTGTTAAGTAAAAGCAGAGGATCTTCATGAACAAACGGTTAATGATGACGCAACATCAATTGTTTGTGTCAGACGAAGTAAGCTGCAATCTGCCCAAACCGCTTTATTTTTACATTTTCCACATTTTAGTTTTTACACGAGTGATCTAGTGACTGTTTTGACAATTTTGTGAAAAAACATTACAAACACATGTACAGGACAAAAAGCAGCAAAGAGATAAGACAAACTACTTTTTTCACAAGGGAAAAAAACAACACACACTGAAAGTTCCTTACAGGAGCTTTAATAGTCAAGTCAACGTTTATTTTTAAAGCACATTTAAAACAACCACAGTTAGCCAACCCTGCTGTACATGCTTAACACCAATATCAATTCAGATAAATGAAGAACCATAAAAACAATAAGAACATGATAAATAAGAGTTAAATATAGTTGCTTAATAATAATAATGTCTAGATGTCAAGCTTAAAGGCAGGGTTGGTTAATTTTCTCCTGATCCACGTTTTAAGATGTTGGTTGAAGTTTTAGGTCCTGAAAGAAATTAATAACTCATGTTCTCTGAAAAAGGAATGAAGAAAATCCATCATCTGTATCAGTTGTAAGTCAGTAAAAACTTCAACCAGTGTCTGCCACGAGGTACCAATCTGATGAACCAATCACACGCCTCCCTGTCTCCCTGCTCGTTCTCTACCCCATGCGTGCACGAGCCCACAGTCAGAGCATGAGCTGAAGTCCGCTTCTGGACCAATAGCACTTGTGCATGTTAGTGAGGGGGCGTGGCTTCTGAGGGAGCACAGAGGGGAGGAGGTGGGTGCAGACGGGGCACTGAGGGAATGCTTCTTTCAAAATCATGCTAGTTTTAAAAAATTACCAACCCTGCCTTTAATTTCAATGAGAAGCCACGAAGAGGTGGGTCTTTAGCAATGATTTAAAACTGTCAGGGGAGTGAGCAGTTCTTAAATCAGATTGGGAGAAGCTACCTTGAAGACGCTGTCACCTCTCTTATCTTTCACCTAGAGAATATTAGCACAATGTGGAGGATGAGGAAAAGACTGTCTGAAGAAGCTTAATTAAACCTGTAAGGTATTGATTTCAGCTGAAAGTAAGATGTGCTGTGTAACTTTGTCAAACATTAGCTACACTTGAAAGGCAGCTGCTAGCTGGCAGGAGTTGTCTTATCGTTGTCTCCAACTGAATCTGTTTTTTTTCCTGAAGTAAAATTATTTGTTTTTGCTTTGCTAACTATTTTTAAACAGTCTGGCCCCTAGGCACAGGGAACAAGGACACGCCCTTATTCCCAGGGTTCTGGAGAGATGGCCAATCAGAAGAAAATGGGCTTGCAGGAAGGAGAGCCTTAAAGAGACAGTACCTGAAATGGCCCGTGTCAGACACATGCTAATCTGAGAGTTCCCACAGACACCAAAAGGTGAGATCGATGAGGAATTTGTATATCTTTAAATCATGAAACATTTTCACAGAGTTAAAATATGAACTTGAAATGGACATTAAACTCCCCCTTTAAAAGAAAACAACTTTCTTTAATCAGTTTTATTTCTGTATGTGCTCAGAAGATGATGTGCACACCTTTAAATATTTTTTTCTGATATTTTATTTTGTGTTATTCAGAAAAACCTATGGAGCTACTTGTATGAGTTCCCATTATTTATAAAACAAACATGCAATAAGGGTAAGGCTCCTTCAAAAGAAAACACAATTTTAATTTGCACAATCAAAAATCAAAAACTCTGGACCGACTCCAGCTACCTTACTGATGCATTAGTTAATGTTTGTGGATGCAGACTTTATTAAACTCATTAAAAACAGTTTAATTTTAGATATTCATGATGAAACAAAGTGGACCTTAATGGCTGTGTTGGTTTAAAAACAAAAAATGAGTTTTCACTGTGTCAGTAGGGACATCTATTGTATGTTGAATCTGGTCATCTGCAGCAAGCTTTGTTCCTGTGTACAGGCTATAAAGCCCGGGCGATGAACACATTAGACATACTCCATACATTGCAGAAGAGGCTAAGTATAATTGACATATCATAATATGCTCATGGTGTTGGATGAAATGCATCCCGACTGATGCTTTGTCTGCAGCTGACAGGCGATTCAATAGGGGTGATTACATGTTTAAAATGTCAAAAAATCCTGCAACACGGGTACAACCTCTGTCACTTTTCTAAAGGAACAGAGCGTAATTAGAATATTATGTTTGTGAGACAATGTTTTAATTGGTACGCCCACTCTGCTCAAGAGCAAACCACAGGGTTTTATTTTTATTTTTTCCGAGGCGGGCATCCACCAGATTGGTTCCGACATAGACAGAGCTCCATAATTACACTGCTCTATTCAGCAGCACTGCCTGTGCGTCAGAGCAAACGTCACATTAGAGCTGCACATGGGGACAGGACATTAGAGAGAGAGAGAGAGAGAGAGAGAGAGAGAGGAGACACTCCTCACAGCTGTGGCGTGTTGTCACTGCTCACAGGCAGATGTGCTGTCACCTTCTGTCTCTCACTTACAAGGTGAAAAGATAGAGGAGAAGCAGCTTTGTTCTTCAGTGGATGTGCAGTGTTACAGACACATCTCTTGTGTTTGGAAACACATCCAGTGGTATGAGATCTATGACTGGCATGCAGCCTCCACTCTGAGATGACACAGTATTGATTCAGGTCTGCCTTGGCTGGGAGCCCCCTTATGATTATGAAATATGGCTGAATGATTTAATAACGTGTTGCTTGGTCTGGTACAAGCCAGATAAAGACTTGATGATTGGTGATGGCACCCTCATGTGACACCTTAGACGTTACATCCAACTTTTAGTGAAAGACCCAACAGCTAGCACAACTGGCATCAAACTGGCTGATAGTATAATTAAATGTTATTAAAACACAATGTTGCATCACAAAAGGCAGGTTGTAATTTGCATTAATTTCTCACATTGTCTTCCATGTATAGGTCAGAAATGTGGCACTTAAAAGTTATAACTTCCCTTATAATAAGAATAAAGACACCTTCACTCAGCCTTCATTGATGAACTGTATACAGGTCTACTTCTAAAACCCCAGCTTAGCAACCTGATGGTAATGATGATTATAATGACGACGGCGGCGATGATGATGAGGATGATTATGGCAATTAGAGCCTGTAAATTGATAGACCCTTGCATCTCATTCATGCACATTATGCATGAAGCCAGCAAGCAGATAAATTAAATAACCTCTTTAAAGCTCCACCTCTCCTCCCCTTATACTGTCTCTTGGCATCAGACAAGGACGCTCACGGCCTCACCTCGTTCACTTACTCAAGGCAAGGCCGGAGAAACCTGTCACAGAGCGTGCTGAGCTTTAACCCCCCCCCCCCAAGACTGAGCAAACATTGGACACACAATTTACAAGAAATCACGCAGCTGTGTCGAGGTACCCTTGAGCAAGAGACCCTTCTGCTCTGCAGCTGACCCTTTCTGCAAGCAGAGCAGAGTAGCATTTCCCTAAAGGCAGGGGGGGTCAGGGAGGTATCACTTTGTACATGATCTGCTCTGATGTTGGTGTCCTCATCGTATAGCCTTCATCCCTGCAAGTGCACGGCTCCTGCATCCTGTCTGTCATTTATTCTGGAGCTGTATCTCCCACCCACCCCACACCACCACCAACACCCGTCTCATCCACACACTCAGAGAGAGAGAGAGAGAGAGAGGGAGAGAGAGAGAGAGAGAGAGAGAGAGATCCTCCTTGGAACACACCCGTCAGTGTCTCAGTGTGATTTTGACTGACTGACTGACTGACTGGCGGGGGATTCTGGAGGAAACACACGGGGAAGGATTCACACAGTCTCCGCTTTTTCACCGTCTTGTCTGTCAGTGTTGTCACGGCCGATGGTTTTCTAACCTCACCGCCTGGCTGACCGCCTCACCATCGGATCTTTTTACTTGATTCTCCCCCCTCCTTGATTGGCTGAACCGAGGCTGATCCCAGCCACCCTGTATCGTGGACCGTGGGGCTGTTCAGCGAGCCTTATAGCTGAAGTTGGGCACCCGAGATGAGCGCCTGGAGACCCGGGAGCGGTGCTCTCCACTCGCCGGGGAGAGGGTCGTGGTCGTGGCGGTGCTGCTGGTGGTCGTGGTGGTGGGTGATGATGATCGGGGTGGCTGTGGGCTCGGGGGATCCCTGGATGTCCGTGGACACATGCCCGTCGTCCTGCTCCTGCAGCAGCACCAGGATCTCCTGCGTGGACCCGGGGCGAGGAATCAATGCTTTCCCGGTCCTTCAGAGCGAGACGGAGATGGAGAACATCACCGACATGTGAGTGTCATGGAAGAGGGAATCATTTGTTCTCCTTTCATCTAAACATCAGATTAGTTTCTTTCATTTATTTAATTTAATTTAATTCAGAACAATTTACAAATAAAGGAATGTCATCCTTTCCCTCTGTGCTCATGGTGTCTGGAGCTGACAGACAACAGCCAGGCCCGCTCTAGATTTTATCTTTATTTTTTTTTAGTGAACATAAATGTTCAGAAAATCCACGAGTTAACCCGTTCGGATATTAATCCAAGTCCTTCTGATGGATTCGGCGCTGGTTCGGCTCTGCCACATAATGTGTAACCTACATTGCATAACAGCTTCATTGCCATCATGGGGCACATCAGTCTTTTCAACACGAGCGTGGAGAGACAGGTCATTTAAAAATGAAAAGCAGCTGCGGCTGATTGACTTTATTCTCACAATTATCCCGAGACAAAGTCCAGGCTACAGGCGCGCACACGCCTAGATTTGTGTGCGTGTGCGTGTGTGTGTGTGCGTGTGTGTGTGTGTGCGTGTGCGTGTTTGCGTTTGAGTGTGTTTGTGTGCGCGCGGGCGGAGACACGCCGAGAGACACCACTGTCTAAATATTAGCACAGACACTTCCCAAGATGGCTCATCTGAGTGTATTCAAATGAACCACAGTCACGGAGGAAAATCGATGTAAGAGTCAACATTTTTGATTGGATTTGCAAGACAGTCTAATTCAAGGTGTCACAAAATCCCAGTGTGCATTTGAAAGGCGCTGTAATCAACCTTTTTGATTTTCCCTTTAACGTCATTTTGGCCTTGAAATAAATTGAGCCACATCATATCTGAGAGCAATTAAACAGGAGATTCAAAAAAAAAAGAGAAAAAAAAGTCATTGCTGCAGTATCTGTCCTGGCAGAGATAAACAGCCTTGATGATAAGGACTTGTGTGAGATGAACTTGGAGAAAAAAACAAAAAAAAGCCTTGGACGCTGTTAACATGAGCCAGCAGTCTGATGAAAAGACACTGACTGGGTGCTTAATGTAAACAGACAAATTACTGATGACCGAGAGACGTTTTAATTCCAAACGACCTTGCCCCAAAAAAACAAAAAACAGGGAGCTAGATCAGGTTATAGTGTCCTCTCTGTCTGTGGTGATTGGTTGAACATCCTGATTATTTGGACCTCTGACTGAAACACACACTCTGACTGAGTCTAAAGGGCTTTCAATGTCAGTGTAAACTCCTTAAGGGGGGCTCAAACCAAATGAATAGTTGACTTCTCCTTGTATTTTTCATAAACGAGTTGTAGAACAGATCGAGTGTAAGCTGAATGACCGGACAATAAAACCCCCAAAAAGGGTTCAATAATATTTATGTTGTTGATATTTGTGGGTGTTGCCTCCTTAGGATAAAAACAAGAGGAAACAGTACAGAAAGTTGGATCATAGGTAATGCAGCCTGTCTGAAAAAAACAAAAAAAACATGTAACAATACGCGTACAAACTAGTGAAAGATACAGGTAGTAATTGCATATTCAAATAGACACATGGAGGTTACTTCAAGCACTACTCCTCTCTTTGAAGGAACACAAGCATGCAGTGAAGCGTTCATTAAAGCTGCTGAAAAACACAGATCTCAGCGTTAGGCGATGATGTCATTATTCACCCAAACTGAATTCACTGCTGTTTCACACATACTACTGTTTCAACGTTTAAATGGTGATTTGTTGCAGATTTGTTTCCTTGTCAGAGATGAGCTGCAGATGTGGGTTTGATGTATTGCTCCGTAATGCCTCTCTGGAGGGAAAACATTTTCTCCCTTCAACACCGAGCTAAAGTTGCTGCTTTGGAAACATGAAGGGTTAAATTCATCAGCACGCTTCTGTGTTTCATCCACTGAAAAAATGCTGACATTCTGGGTCAGCTTCTTTAATTATTAAAAGGTGCATATCAGATGTTGAAGGGTTTTTTTTCTTCCCCTCTACAGTTTATATTTCAGTCAACTTGGCTTTATTTGATGAGGAGGGCAGAGATCAGACAGAAAAGAAATGAGGGAGGCAACGAAGGCACCTGCCAGACAAAAAGCAGGGATGTAATGATTATGTGTTGTATGATGTTGTATGGCGTTACATTCAAGGCCACCAGGACACTGCTATGAGATATTTTAAGATTAAGCATTTGTGTTTAATCCTTGCTGAAAATCATTCGACTTCCATTTACTAAAAAGTCATCTTTTTGATTTAAATTCAGAGCTGGAAAATGAAAACTAAAGCTAACCACTGACCGTGAAATCATCGATTCTAATGAGAGATGATTTAGTCAGCCGGTGTCTCTGTGTGTCCGCCACATTAAAAGCATCATTTAATGACCTTGTGATTTGACCAAACAACATGTGCAGCAGGGAGGCTGACAAAGAGCTCGGCTGTGACAGTCGCAGCTCGTTCCCTCTGAAGGTGAGCCGCTCTCGGACATCTGATCTCCAAAGATCTGTTATTTGAAAAGTACACATTGTTTTGCAGAAACCTGTTCACACGGTAACACTCAGTCACTCGAGGGAGTTGCCCACAATCATCTCCTGTCGGCTCTTAAACGGGTCGAGTGCCTTGCTCTAGTGCAGCAGAGGGAAAGAGAGAGAGAGAGAGAGAGAGCTGAGCCTCCTTCTCTACTTCTAACAAACTCTAAACTCCCCCTTCCAGGGTCATTCATCAGCCGCAAGCCTCCAAGAGTTCATTTTTAATGTTGAGCTCTAATGATGTGGGTTTATTGTGTTGCTTTGTCTTTTTGGAATGCTTCTGTGCATGCTTCCTCCTCCCTGTTAAACAAACGAGCCTGCTGACACACACTTGTATCTCCTGACAGCTACATCGCCAACCAGAGCAGCTTCTCCTCCATCAACGACAAAGACCTGGACAACTACAAGAATCTCAGGAACCTGTGAGTCTTTCACCGCTAATGTGACCAGACAAACATTTTGCTACATGACATGTATTCAGGGATACTATCTTAGCTGCTTCCACCAAGCAATCCGGTTCAGTTGGGTTGGGTTCGGTACCCATTTATTGGTGTTTCCACCGTCATAAGTTGGGACTGGTACCAAAATAAAGGATCCGTACCATCCTACTTTTTTGGTACCCTTCTGTTGGGGTGCCAAGGGTACCGATCCGACCCTAAAGGGTCCCTTTTGTTATCATCTTTGCTGTGCTTTGGTCAAAATATAACATGAATCAAGCACCAGAGGAGGTTTGTGACCCTGTATAAACCAGCTCTCTCAGAACGCTCCGTTTTGGTGTGTGTGTCTCTTTAAATGAAATGGGCCCCCCCTGAGTTTTCCTGGTAGACATCACTCCTCTGTAGTGAGAATAAAAATGGCGGACCTGAGCAAAAGTTTTTTTCTAGGCTGGGGGTGGAGTCCATGGGTGGAGATATTGGATTTTTTTTGTTTACCAGAATCCCACTGTGACATCACAAGGAGGGCAAACTTGAAACGGAGCATTTGTCTCTGTGTTGTAAGACTTATGCAGACCACAAACAAAGGACTGGATGGGTTTATTTCACATTTTGTGGGTCTGCAGACACTCAGGTTACCCAAACATATGTTCAAAAACACTGTAGAAGAGGGTTTTTCACAATATGTCCCCTTTAAAGTCTTCAGTTATTCAGATATTGTGATGTAACATGATAGGATTATCTTTAAAATATATTAATTTTCACAGAATCGCTGTTTTGTGGTGTTATTGTTATTGTGTGCCAAGTATTGCGTATAATTTTATATCATACCCCCTTAGTCCTTTAAGTTAACCACAACACCTGAGCAGCAGTTAAATGCACACAGAATGACTGTAAACGTCTTGTTATAGTGTTAGAAATTGTATTTACTTTTCCTATACAGATAATTCTCCCTTTTCCGTTACACATTATGTTGTTGCTTTCAAACGGCCTGTGATTATGGGGGATATCCCCCAGTGCTCAGAGGTTCTCCTTCCTCTGCCTCTGTGTCTCTTTTTTTTTTTACATTTCTGAATCTCAAACTCAATTGTCTACCAGGCAGCACTAATTTGAAACATCACAATTTGTTAAGTGGACAGCTCATTTTCCAGCCAATGTCCCTTTCGGTAGAGAGATGAATACAAAGCATGTTACGCACTGCAAGGGAATAATCTAATAATGGTGGACGCAGGCCAGATGAGTGTTCAAGCAAAAAGTAAAAAGTAAGGACACGTGTTTTATATACTTAAGAAACACTGTACAAACAATTATATTGTATTTAACAGGAAACGGTCCAGATGCCAAAAGTATGATACTACTTTGATCTTTTTTACAGCCAGTCTCTTTTTTATGGCTACAAATCTTTCCTGCCAGATGTGCTCAGTCAGTCACCTTCTGATTATAATTATTATTCATTAAAGATAAAGATGTGATGTCACAGCCTCCCTCAGCTGGCGAGGGTCACACTCCCCGCACTACAGAGTAACCTGCAGACTGTCGGGATATTAAAGGCACTCAGCGCTGTTTCTCCACAAACTAATGAACAAACTAATTTGGAGATTTCTGTTATGTTTTAGTTTAAAAAGATAAATCTATTTTATTTTAACCAGCATCATATAACCAGAAGAATCTTGTTGATATAAAAAAAATGCAAAAATAATGAGCAGGCATATATGCAAACAAATACAAGATGACTATAATGCATGAAGTATCAATAAATATTTATCAAAATCACAAACATATATCATTCAGTCGGATGTGTCTGCCTCCAAGTCGTTTAAAATCACCCTAAAAGCATCCAATGAGAGCAGCTCTTTAAGGTCTCTTTTGGTAAATAAGATAAACTGATAATCAGTTTCTTAGTGTTTTTCTTTCAGTTTTCTGCACAGTAAATATAATCCACATAAACATTACTTATACAGAGATAATATTGTCGCAAAACAATTTACAAAAGCAGAACTAGATCCTTAAATACAGAAACAGATCCACACATGTGTACACAGATCAGCATGCAAAGTCTGCTGGGATACCAAGCGACAATCTGTGTGGCTCTATTTCTGTTTTTAAGGATCAGTGTAAGCATTTGTGGATCTATTCTCTAGCTGTTTTCAGACTTAACTCTTCTGGAGACTTTTTGATGAGGAACTATCCATTAGGCAGTTCTCTGAGATCTAATCACCACAGGGACTTTGTCTGCTTTCACACCGCCATGGTCCCTACTCTGAGGCAGGAGCTAAAAAGGTTCCTCTCAACGAGGTTCTAGGAACTAAAATAGTTCATAGTTCCTGCGGTGCGGATAAAAACGACGGAGGGTTCTAACAGTTCCTAGAACTATGAAAAAGTTCCTGCGATCCGAAAATGCCTTAAGCTACAACGAGGAATGTAAAGATTAATCATGAGGCAGTTAAAAAACGATTTAAAGGAGTCGAGATTCACATCTGTACTCTGAAAAAAGAATCTCAGTAACATGGTGAGCTGGTGAACAGCAGCTGTAGAGCAAGATTTAGAAACTGAGGACGCACCATCGTCTTTTATATCGGAGGTGTGGAAGCATTTTGGCTTCCCCAAGACAGAAAATGAAAGAGGTGAGAAAATAACAGATGAGACAAAAAACTGTGTGCAAATATTACAAGAAATAGCACGACCAACATGATGCAGCATTTAATCGACACCAAGGCCAAACCACACTGACAGGCGGGTTAGCAGCCCGCTCGCCCCAAACGAGTCCAAAGAGATTACGAGGTGCATCGGTGTTCTCATGAAACAGATTAAAGGAATCTTTTTCGGTCATCTCATACTTCGTCTTCAGTCTCATTTTGTAAAATAAATCACTAGCTCCGAAGACTTCCACTGACATGATGTTGCTTTGTTCACTTAGGACGATAAACGAATCAAAGTGCTTTTTAAATTCAGGCTCCAGCTGCTTCAAATATTTGGTTCCTCTTGTTTAAAACAGCGTCTATATAGTATTTATAAGTTGTAACTAATGTATTAGTAATCATGCAGATGTGATACATTATTTAAGATGAGTAATCTTTAAATACCAATAGGAACATCATTCAAATAAGCAGGAATCTGCACCAAATATATCAACTCAAATGTTACAGATCTTGATTTTTTTTGTATTTGTTGATGATGCAGGTGATGCTGCTTACTGAAAACTGTTTGTAATAACTATATTTTGTGTGTTTGTGTGTGTGTGTGTGTGTGTGACAGAACGGTGACCAACAGCAGACTGATGTACGTATCGATGCTGGCCTTTAAGAACAACCTCAAGCTACAGTACCTGTAAGTCCAAACTCAGGGAATAAATCCATCCTCTCTGTTAATATAACAGCCGCAGTAAGTGTGACTCAGTTGGGACCAAAATGTTCTGACGAGTTTTAACATGTGTTTTCTTGGTTTGTCGTGTGATTTATTGTTGGAGTTAAACGATGACGTAAAGAAGAAATAAAGAACAACAAAATGTTTTGACAGCCGAGCGTCTGGCGGGAAAAGAAGTTCACTTCAGGTTCAGCCTGAACACTGTTTATAATTGGTCTTCAGATCTTGTTAACGTAATTAAAGCTCGATACCTATTATACTAATCAGATGTACTTCTTGAGGTTAATTGTCACATTGCTTGGAGGGGGAAACTTTGAATGTAAAAACAATGCAGGCTCATTGATGCGTGTGGAAATGTGCCGCCTGCTGCTCTAACATCAGCTTTATAGTCCTTGTGTTGATTTCACACTCTCACTCCCTGATGTTTTGACTTTAATTTCCAGGAATCTAAAGGATAACAACCTTTCGTCACTGTCCTGGAGGATATTCAGACACCTCAACATCTCTTATCTGTGAGTTCAAAGCTCTGTCTGTCTGTCCATTTCAGTGTCTGTCTGTCTCTCTCTCTCTCTCTCTCTGAGTCACCTGTGGTTGCCTTCACAGTGTGTTCATGAATACATACCATCTTTCATGTCAGCTGTCAGTGTTGTGTTTTGAAGCTTGGAGTTTGGTTTTCTCCTGCCTTCAATTTTGGGATTTTGTGGGGACAGAAAAATATTTTTTTGTAACTATTAACTTAGCTGAAACCACCAGGGCTCAGTGAAAACACATCAAATAATTTAACCCTAACATCGTTTACGTCATTATAGGAAGTCGCTGATTTATGTCCAAGTGTTAATCTTGCAAAGAAGTTCAGTTTTAATTTGATATTTTATGCTAACTCCATTATTGACGTATGCGGCTCCTGCAGTGCTGTGTGCGTCGGATAATCAGAGTAGAAGAGAAAATGGTGAGAGGACACGTTCCAAGTTCTGAGTCATTGATCTTTCCAAAAACTTTGAGTGTCGAGCTTCAAAACTGACAGAAGAATTTGTTCTGCCTTGGGCTCACCTCATCGACCTGCCGGATCTTCGCTGTTTTATTGACACGTTAAATGTACAATTTGGTGGGGCAATGGTTAGGGCGCGAGTCCCATGTATTGAGATTGGTAGGCCCAGGTTCACTTCCACCCGTGGCCCCTTTCCGCATGTCATTCCCTGCTCTCTCTCTCCCTGGTTTCCGACTCTATCCACTGTCATCTCTCTGCATTAAAGGAACGAAAAGCCCAAAAAATAAATCTTTAAAAAAAAAAAAAAAAAAATGTATGATTTGGTTTGAGGAAAGGGCCAGACCTACCACGCAGACCCCGGCTCCAAATGACGTCACCTGAGCAATATGTCTGCACCTGTTTCGGGGATTTTTTGGCTTCGATTTTTTTTTATTAAGGGTAGTAGGTTGAGATCAATCAATCAATCAATCAATCAATTTTTATTTGTATAGCGTCAACTCATAACAAGTATTATCTCGAGACACTTTACAAAAAGCAGGTAAAAGACCTTACTCATTGTTATGTTACAAAAAGCAGGTAAAAGACCTTACTCATTGTTATGTTACAAAAAGCAGGTAAAAGACCTTACTCATTGTTATGTTACAAAAAGCAGGTAAAAGACCTTACTTATTGCTATATTACAAAGACCCGCTGCAGACCCCTGAAAAAACTGCCTTATTAAAAGGCAGAACTCTTCAGCCGGATCCCCGGCTCATGACGAAACAGCCTTCACAGGCCTAGACTGCACCGGGCTTGGAAAGGGATAGGGGGAGAGATGGGATAAGATGCAGGAAGAGGGATAGGGAGCAAGGGGGTGGGGGGAGGCAAACCGTCCATCAACAATCCGGTGGGGAGGGGGTGTGTGTGTGTGGGGGGGGTTGTCCTTTTTTATATACAGTTAATGGTAGCATAAAAAGTAAGTAAGTGACGCTTGTCTACTCCCCATTGTTCTTGACAGTTCTTGGCTTTGTGTGTGTGTGTGTGTGTGTGTGTGTGTGTGTGTGTGTGTGTGTGTGTGTAGGATCCTGTCAGGAACCCTCTGCACTGTTCCTGTGAGAACATGTGGATCAAGCTGTGGTTAGGAGAGGAAGCAGACACTCAGGAGCTGCGCTGCATCGAGAATGGAGGAGGCCGCAAGCTGCTGTCCGGACTGACTTTACCTAACTGTGGTAAGGACACACACACACACACACACACACACACACACACACACACACAGTGTGGAGGACTCAGACACACGCGCAAATGGAAGGACCTGGAAAAGACATTCTCAAGCTGTAACTGAGTGAAAAGTGCTGAAGGGCCAGGAGGAAAACAGTAATCCTGCTGATTTCCTCTACACATTTCATCCTAAATCTCTGTTATGATTGAGTGTGTGTGTGTGTGTGTGTGTGTGTGTGTGTGTGCTCTCATGTGTTGTACATGTGTCCCACACATCTGTTTTTTTATGTAAGTGCTTTGCTAGCTTAAGTGTAGGATATCGGCTTTATGAAAGTTTTTATTACAATTGCAAACATTGTAAGCGTTTTGTCAGTTCTCAGGGGAGGTTAAACAACGGCAGAGATTTAAGTCCGTTTCAAATAAACAAAAGAAGGAAGACATTGTATGCATTAACCAAAGCCACTGCAGTAATCACTTATATCTGATATAAGACCTGCTGGTATGTGAACCTCCACCGCCTACAGCAGAGAAGCAGCGCACACTGTATTTCACTAACACAGGGCTTTGCTTAGCTCTGTATATTGTAATTTCCCCAGACACCGAGCAGAGGAAAAAGCTACAATTTCTTACACATGAGCAAGCAAACAAATGACCAAACCAACGCAAGGATGCACACTCAGATCTTTGCTTTTAAAGAGGGGCTCAAATAGTAATTTGTTTTTTATGCCACTGAGCCTAAAAAGGTGGACGTTATCTCCGTGCTGCGGGGATTCTTCTTCTCTTGTGATGCAGATAGAGGAGAGCTACGTATGATACAAACAGTAAAGGTTTTTGTGTTAGAATCTATTGGTCATTATAGAAGCACAGAGAGAAGACACTGAGAGGTGCTCAAACACAGATGACATCATGGAGTGTTAAAGATGCTGAGTGGAGGAAACTCCCTTCATGCACCATCATGTACCACAGTGAAATGAAGTGTTATAAAGACCATCTGCACTGTGTCCTGTAGCACCTGTGACCTGCTGTCATGCAGCACATTTCATTTCCTTTTCCTCTTAAAGGTCCCATATTCTGCTTTTTCTGCTTTTATATGCCCTTTAGTGTGTTTTCCAAGTGTCCTGTGCATGTTTAGGCTCGTCTATGTGCAAAGATTCAAAGTCCGCAGAAACGCGGCTTCTCCTACCTCCTCCTGTTAGCTGTAGCATTAGCTGCATGTAACGCTCGGTTCTAGCCCCCCTTGATAAAAATGTGTCAGTCCAACGTCATTGTCAGTGTGAGATCACTGATCTAAGTCCATTGGCTCGTTGTGGCAAGACCTGCGCTCAAAATCCTACATCGATAAAATTAAAATACAGCACATACGTGACCTTAACGTGCCGTGCACATCCAGTCGGCTGCAGGATGTAAAAAACTTTTAGTAAAAGTAACTGAAACATTGCGGTTAACAAAAACATACATTAAAAAATATGATAAATAAGAGGAATCAATGAAAATAAAAATGTAGGAGGAAACAATCGACATCCACTTCTCTCACAAAGTGGAAAAAATTACTACATAGAAATAACCAAAGAAGAAGAAAACAGAACAAGTGGAGGCTGCATACGACTTCACAAGTATATCAGGGATTATAAAACAAACAAGTTCAAGGTTACTTTGTGTAATTGTAAACTGAAAGATGTATGTACAGATTTGACCTTATGCATAGAGGTTTTACTTTTGTAACATAATGATCAAGCTAACCGGCAGGCTAACCTCGCTGTCAGTGCTACACAGACCACAAACCTTTCTCCTTTTTATCGGAGTGTTTGTCAAGCTGGGATTCATAAAAGTCTGCAGATAATTGACCCTAAATGATTCCCTCGTTCTTCTTCTACGTCTTGCTTCTCGTGTGAACTCCTCTGTCTGGGACGCACTACGTTTCGCTAACAGGCTCGTGTTACAGCGTGAGCCGTCTGTGAGCGCCGCGGCCTGACCTGCCGTGTGATGCTCTGCAGACAAATCTCTTCAGCCTGGATTTGTAGGTTTTTTTTTTTTTTTTTTTTTTTTACGAGCGCTAATCTGGCTAAAATTGACTTTCAGTTATGATTTAGAGCTCCGGCTTGACCGAAGTAAGCAAATGAATCACAGATTGTTTCTGCCTTTTGGGGCAATCAACGCAGTCAGATCCATTTTGTTAGAGAAAGGAGAGGAATCTTCACATCTCATTTATAACATGAAACACAATAATAGCATTCAGAAAAGCTTTAAAGACCCCCAATTGAAATGTAATCCAATTTTTCCCTTGCTATGCAGAAACACAAATCTCAAAGTATTTCGCCGTCTCTGTTGTTGACAGAGCAGCTGATCGGATCATAAATAGCTCCGGGCAGTTGGGGACGGACGAACAATAAGTCAGCTAGCAGCAAGCTAACAATGTCATTGATAAGTATTGATCCGTCCCCTCTGCCTCCCTTCCATTAGCGCCAGTTATTTTTGGCATTAGCACAGTTACAGCAGGGCCCCCTGGAGAGGTGGGTGGGGGACCCCCCCTGGCAGAGAGAAATATGAGGAGGAGGACATGGAGCAGCAGGGGTGCCAAACGATGCCCCGGGGCGAGCAGTGATACACCGAAAGACCTCTCAGTCCGCACCGACTGCTGCCCTTTTGCTTTTTTCTGTCACGTTTTCTGGCCGTCTTTTTAGCCTCAGCCTCTCCCGGGCTCTCTGTCACTCTTTTATTGCAAATTTTCCACGCGTCTGTGTGCTCGCTTGTATGACTTGTCTGTCCCTCTCTCTGTCTGGACATGACATATGAGGAGGGCACAAAGCAGAGGAAGTGCCTGATGATGCCCTCAGGCTGACACTGATCCCCCACATATGCCTCTGTTTCTCTCTGTGGACTGTTTCCTGCTGTGGCTCGTCTCCCAAAGGCCGGCTGACTGTTCACACTGCTCGAACTTTACCAAGCTTTAGTGGAAGTAACTGCAGTCCCATGCTTATGCAACATGAAGAGAAAGAAACTGTCACTTAACTAAAACGTTGCACCACTCCCACTCCCACTCACATGTTAACAACTATAAATGACTTTAGCCTTTTACTTTCACGGATTGCGTCTACACTTCAGAAATTAGGAAAGTAATCTTCAGTTTTTGGCGCCGCCCATCGTTTGAAATGACCACAGATGGGGCAGCGATAGCCTAGCTACCCCATCATCAAGGGCTGTAGTCCTCATTACAGCGGTCGTTGGTTCCAATCCCACCATGGCCCTTTGCTAGATAAGACACTGAGAGGGGCTCAAACACAGATGACATCATCGAGTCTTAACGATGCTGAGTGGAGAAAACGAAAAAAACAAAGCCCAAAAAAATAACTTAAAAAAAGATGGCCACAGCCAGACTTGAGAAGTTTTATAGCAGTCATTCACAATAACACAGCTGTGCATTAGAATAAGAAGAAGTGAGTAAGAGAACAAGAAATAAAGGAAACATAAAATAAACATATGGAAGAGTTTAATTAAGGAATAATCTGTTTTACAGTATTTACAGATGTCAAGACTTTTTCAGGCTTTGAGGTTTGAAGCGTGCAGATTTATTGTTGAAGTATGTCTCTGAAATTTTAAACCCGACCCTTTCTGGTGCAAAATTAACTTTTTGAATCATGAGATTTAGCCAAAATGAAAAGATGGATGACACCATTTTGATCTGAGCTGTCGACTTCATAAAAACAAAACGGCTTCGCCTCCTGTAAAAAGCCGAACTCGAGGCGTACAAAGGCAACAAACTCTCAACCCGACACAACGCTCCGTCGAGCTTCCTGCTGGGAGATCATCACCGTGCTCTTCAGAAACAATGGCTGACTATTTAAAACTGTCTGTGGTCACATCAGAGCCCTGCAGTCTGTCTCTTATCTGTATCTCTTTCTCTCTGTTCACCTGGAATGACTGTCTATCAGGCTTTATCGCCCCATTGTCGTCCAATTATCGCATCCTGTTCTTTTTTTTGTTGGAGTGTGTAAGCTCTTCATAAACGAGAATATCCTCGACAGTAGGTGTGAACCTGCGTACCGGTCGGTGCTGCATTACTTTCCGTGCTCTCTCAGTGAGTTAAAGTCAGGTGCAGGACGTAGGCAGGCTCCAGCAGTATGTGGCGGTAAAGAGGCCAAATGGTTCCTCCTGTGTCTGTGGGCAGAAAAGTTATTCACATGCGAGAATCTCCTATGGAGGCTGAGGCAAAGTTAGCTGTGAGATAACAAAGAATTCAATCACAAGCGACAGGAGAAAGAAAATCAGCTTTTCCAAAGTGACAGACACATCAGGTTCAGGTGTTGCTGCCATGTTGTTTAGCAAAGTTGTTGTAAGGCCTATAGTCCCTCATCCCGTCCACACACGCTCTGTCCTCAAAAACATCTTTGTGCACCTGAAAATGAAAAACACAAAATCACAAAGTTTCAGCTGTCATGAGCATAACAAGTCAACAACGATGTCCTTGATGTGCAAACATTTTCTCGCCTTTCCTCTGCCATGACCATTTCATTTTCAAACGAGACTCTGACTGAGTCTCGTCCAAAACATGCGTATGTATGTGTAAGCATCCAAATAGTCCAGTAAGCAACGTTAGCACCAGCGCTAGTTTGGTTATGGGTGCCATAGTGCAAACTAAAAAAAGGATATGAACTCACAAAATGAGAATTGAGGGGGAAATTTAAACCAGCGGACCAAACCAAAAAAAAAAAAAAAAAAAAAGAATACTAGGGAGGACTCAAGCGGTAACCTCCAGTCTTGAAAAATGAAGCCAATGCGGAAGTGCTAAATCCTGCAGGTCGTCGCTTGAGTCTGGCTCCAGGAACACGGGAAGTCACATACACACAACAGGCAAAGAAGCCGTTTTTACAGCAGAAATGAACATGTTTACAGCCTGGTAGAAAAAAAAAAAGAAATAGGTCTGATTAGTTATTGTTATCACTGGCACACACTGTACAGGAGGGGGGGGGGGGGGTGACATTTTTTAAAAACGACTCTGTTTTGATTTTGAAAACGTTTGGTGTTATCCAAGGAAAAACGTGTTTGAATATCAAGGTACACTACCTCGCCATAAAAACTGAAATGTTGCCCAAACTGATCAGAGAGTCAGAGTCAGAGCAGCTGAAACTTGACTGACAACAGGCAGGAAATCAATAATCCATAACACAACTTTGGTTTTGCTGCTCTGCCTGTCATGCCTTCCGTCTAAATCCTGAGCAGAAATTATTTTGCAAATCCCTTTCATACTACATTGACAGTCTCCACTGTGCTCCAACAACAGAAAAAATACAGAGGCGACCTCGCAGATGGATTTTCTGTAGTGTCACCGTCTCACACTTTTCATTCTCTCTCTCCTTGTTGTGTATGTGGTTGAAAAATGTCTCTCTCTCTCTCTCTCTCTCGCCTTCTTTCGCCTCTCGTCACAAATCATCACGTCTCTTTGGTGAAAGGCTGGAGCCTCGCATGATGAATGGAAACTTCTGTAAACATCAATGTGAACGTGCCTTTTGTGGTCTATTGCAAGAGCGGATCACAATGACGCCTCCTACAATGACATTGAAGTATGCTGCAGCCGGAGAGCAGAGGATGTTTTCCTTTTAAATAAGAGCTGTGAGAATCTATTCAGCAGCACATCGTGGGGGGGGGGGGGGGGGGGCACGTGCACCCGATGCTGTACCTGTTATTCTCAGTCCATTCACAGCACATGCTCCTGCTGAATGGAGGCAATCTGGGTTCTAGGAGTCAAAGAAACTCAAGGACTGGCATGTGCTCAGTGCTTAGTGATGTATTCAATTCAATCGTTTTGGTTCCATTGGATGAGGTTTTTCTATGTTTAACAATTTGATCCATCTTTAGAAGTCATTGATTACCTTAAAAGCAGGTCATATTGTGACATTAAGGAATACATCTGGCAAAGTAAAGGACGTCAGAGAATTAAACTGTTAGTGTAGAGAAACACAATGAAAGAAGGGCAGAACAGGCCAATGGATTTCACATTTAAAGGAAATGTAAAATAAGGTTAAAAAAACCCGGCTTATTCACTGATTAAACTTTTTGTGTTTTTGTAATGATCGACTGTTCTGAGCTGTCTGATTAAAATAAGAAGACAGGATCTAAAGGGCGTAATTCACATTATGAAAAATCAAAAAAAGAAGACACACACACCCTAAGTGGGTGCTGGATCAAAAAAAAACAAAACATGAATAGGTAAGGAAAGCAAATACAAGAGCCGCACACTAAGAAGCCTCCATTTGAAGGATTTATTAAGTGATGTTTCGAGCCAACATGCTCTTCATGGGAAGAGCATGTTGCAACAGCAATGAAAATATGGAGGTGTTAATATGTGGTCCTGCATGTGATCCCGGTGAACTCACAGGTCACGTGCTCCTGTCATGACCCTCAGATCATTAATGTTATAAACACAATCTGAGTCACTCTGGTCATTCCAAAGTCTTGATTAGTTATTGTAAACAAATATATATCTTTTTTATGCATCCATTCAACTGAGGGTGCAGAAATCTAAAATGAAGGTGCAATTCAAATTCAAACAACTTTATTAATCCCAAAAAAACACAAAAACAAGTTGACATATATACATGCAACCTTTTGAACCCTCTTAGAACGGGTGACTGCTCCTTCACTCAGCTGTGCACATTTAAATCTGTGGATGGAGGTCTGAGTATGATGGCCAAGGCTTAAACCGACTTTTGAAGCAATCAGATGAAGCTCAAGCTGCAGCTCCCCTCAGGTTAACAGGAGGGTCATAAAGCAGATAGGAATTTTGTGAGACATAAAGAAAAGCAAATGGACTTAGAAACTCAGATTTAGAGTTAATATGCACTCTACAATTGTTGTTTCTTCATCCCACTTCTTATCATTATCACATTATTGACTGTTATTGTAATATTTTAGGCCTTCTTATTACTAGTAAGAGGACATTTAGGCCGGTTTAACTCCCCCCCCCCCCCCTCGCAGGCTTCTCTACATTTGCCTCGTTGATGCACTTAAATCGTGCTGTTGGCTGTTTCTCTGCAGACACTTCAGTGCCAGTCGTTTCCAGATGTTTACAACTGTCTGCAGGTGCATGGCTGCAGCGGTGCCACACACCAAACACAAAACATGTGTGATAGTGAAAGTCTTTCCTGGTAATAAATGACTCGCATGTTGACGGAAGAGAGCATGCCCCGTCTACTATGGTAATTACGGTAAAATTCCTCCCCAGTCCTACTTGTTGATTCATCGGAGCAGCTGAGGGATTACGATCACACAGGATGTCATGGATGGTTTGACTATCAAAGCAGCGCTCGGAAATAATTGAACATGGAGATCATTTTAGCCGACTGACGGTGGGGTCACGACAACTGCACTCAGTTCCCCCCCCCCAAAGTTTCGCTTTGACTCCCCGTGCTCTGTGTGGTGACGCTTTGTGTGAAGAAAGCTGATTTACTGAAAGCCTGTTAAGATATGTGCCTCTGATACAGCTGCTCGCCTGCCACCACTGAAATGACTGTTTTTTTTGTGTCTCGCTGTGATTGAGTGGGTTGCCGTAGTGATAAGTGGGTTGCCCTGGTGATAAGCATTCTGCCGACGGACAGAAGAGGTGGAAGAGGAGGAGGAGGAGGAGGAGGAGAGGGTTCGATAAGAAATCTGTCCAGTTTTATCTGCAGTGGCTGTCGACACCCATCTCCTCTCTTTGTCCTCGTCGTCTTTTTTTTGTTTATGTTTTTTTCAGTTTAATTGTCCGCTTTTCTTCTCTTTCCTTTTGTCTCGTCTCCTTTTCTTCTCTCTTTAATTTCCTACTTAACATTCTTCGCTTCTTCTCACATTTGCCCAATTTTCTTTTTGTTCACACCCTTCGTCTCTTATTGTCCCTGTCTCTCTTTTTTCTTCTCACCTTCTCTACTTTTTGTTCTCTTTTTCCTCTTCTCATTTGTCTTCTCGTGTTCTTTTCATTTTTGTTTCTATCTTAGTTGAACTCTCGCCTGTCTTCTTGTTCTCGGTTCGTCTTCTTTTCTCCTCAGTTTGTTCTCGTCTTCTTGACTCTTTGCACCCAGGACATCTCTATGTTTTAACCTTCTTTTGTCCTCTTGTTCTCGTCTCTTCTTATTGTTCCTTTCTTCCATTTTCTTCTCACCTCTTCTTTTTGTTCTCTTTTTGTGATTTTCTTTCTCCTCATTCTCGTGTTTTTTATTCTCTCATCTCATCTTTTCGGACCTTCTCATATTATTTTTCTTCTCTTCTTTTTGTTTCATGTTTTTTTTCGGTTCTCATCTTCATCTGTTGCTTTGGTTGCCTCCCCGCTTCTTTCCCTTTTGGCTCTCTCTCTCTTTGTCTTCTTATCCATCGCTCGGTTTTACATTTTCTTTTGGCTATTTTTTTCAATTTGTGAATAGTCGATTTGAGTGCTCAGCTTTGTCTTTATTCTTAGTTTTTAATCATTTGAGTTGTTTTCTGGTTTGAAACCCAAAAAAGCCCAAAACAATAACTATGTTGTAAAACTTAAAACATCAAACAATTAACAAAAAAGATTCAAACACAAAAGACACACAACCATCTTCCAAAGAGAAACTGTCTGAGTCAGCATGTCATGCTCGACTTTTCTGTTCTTTACGTCTCTTCTCGTCCTCGCCTCTACCCGTCATGTTCACCTCTTTTCTTTTAAATTCATGTCTTCTTTTGTCTTCTTTCTCTTCTCAGCACTTTCTTGTTCTATTCTTCAGTTCACCACCGCTATAGGACACGAGGGTGGCAGGTGTCTGATTGGTCATACTCAGGTCTCCTCGTGGTCAGCATTGTACACAATCATATAAAAACATCTCTCACACACACACACACACACACACACACACACACACACACACACACACACACAGTGTCTTTTTGCTTAGACAGAGGCTTCAGACTGTGTCCAATCAATCCCGGCTGAAGACATGCACTAGTAATCAGTGTAACCATCGCTGTGTTTGAACTCTGTCGCTGTGTCTCTGTTTGATTGGGGTGAGTGTGCTTAAATGAAAGCAGGAGAGAAAGTAAGGCGGGGGGGAGAGCGGGAGATTGAATTCAAGGTCTCTCTTTGTGAGTCCGCTCAGTGGTAGTGGGTGTGTGTTTGCCTGTTCTTCCACTCTTATTGTCGAGGTTGTTACGTGCTTTGTGTTTTGAACGAAAGGACAAGAGTCGGCCATGAATCCTAAGTTTTGCTTCCTTCCTTTTTCTCCTCCCTCCCTCCCTCCCACCTCTCTCTACCTCTGCCTCCTTCTCCTCCTGCCTCTCCTCCTTCCCTCTCCCTGGTTGTATGTAGAGGTTCCCATGGCAACGTTGAACCCATCCAAAGTGACATTAATGGAGGGGAAGAGCGTGGACCTGTCCTGTACGACCTCTGGGGTGCCCTCACCTGAGCTGATATGGAATATGGCGCTGCTCTCCTATTATGAGGTCAGAACACGCACGCACACACACACACACACACACACACACACACACACACACACACACACACACACACACACACACACATGCACGCCACACACAATAAATCCTTTTTCACTCTTGCCCTCCTGAAATGTTTTTGAAAATTTCAGAACAGCCTGACCCCTGAAATGATCCTGAGTTGCTCTTTCACACATGTCCCTCACGGTGGGAGATTTTCCCTCTTGGATGGGGGATGGGGGATGGGCAATGGTTCTTGGGGTGCAGAGCATGAAAATAGGATGTTCAATGTTTACAACATATACAGCAACAGAATCTACACTGATGGTAAGGCAGGTAATATTCAGGAATATTCTTCCCGTTGGAGTTGGAGGGATCATCACGTTTAGATCATTCAAATAAAATAAAAAAACGTTATTTGTCCCGGGGGGGCAATTCAAAGACACACAGAGCATTAAATTAACAACAGAGCAGGTAGACGAAACATTTTAAACCTAAAATATAAAGTGTCAATTTAAATACAACTTAAAGCTTAAACTTAACTTAAAATACAAAATACAAAAAGAGTAGATATAAGTGGACAGTGATCGGACTAACAGATGTAAACAGAACTATGTGCAGTATTGACTCACTTCGACTTCTTGCAGAAATCTTACTAGGGTGCTGGCAGAAAAAAGTTGGGATACATTTTGAGTCAGAAATTCTGCCATTTGCGGGCGCCAGTAGTGTAGTGGTTAGTGCACGTGCCCCGTGTACGGAGGCCATAGTCCTCCAAGCGGATGGCCCAAATTTGAATCATAACTGGGGGCTACCTTCCCCGCTTCTCATCCCCCACTCTCTCCTGATTTCTAGACTATATCCACTGTCCTATGTCTACAATAAAGGCCCAAAAGTCCAAAAATACAAAAGGTACAATCATATTCCTCAAATGTATTAACTGAACAGAGATAGATTGATGGATACTTTATTCAGATTTCCTGGTGGAAAACAACAATGGATTTCTCAACGCAATAATCCTGCAAATACAAATAAGTAACCACAACAAGTGAAAAGACTCGTATAATAACAAGCTGTGTCTTTCAATATGTAGCACTGTGCCAGGGGTTTCTGAAAAAGGGCAGCGTGTTGAAAAAACTCCTGATCTATGTCTATGTGTTTAATTCCTCAGATCGAGACGTCAGGACAGATTTCGGTGCTGCGACTCTCCAACCTGTCCTCTCTGGACCACAACAGCAAGATCAGCTGCACGGCTGAGAACATCGTCGGAGAGAAAGAGTCCGCGCTGCTGCTGGATATTCTTTGTACGTCTCTAATTCAGTGTGTTTTGTGTGTGTGTGTGTGTGTGTGTGTGTGTGTGTGTGTGTGTGTGTCAAAGTGTTATCAGTGTGGTGAAGTCTCCTTTTAATCAGTGTTTTTGAATGCTTCACTAGTTCTACCTCTGAATTGCTCTTTTGCTTTTTTTTGTTGTTGTGTGTTTTCTGTTTTAATCTCCAATTGGTGCCTTTAAACTCTCTTTTCTTTCTTTTTTACACACAGTTTCTCCCAAGATCACGAAGCTGAGTGATGCGATCCCCGACCATAACTGGTGCATCCCCTTCAGCGTGGCAGGTATGAGAGAGAAATCAACATTTTAAACCCTTCAGTGATACTTTTCTGGATTTTCTAGAGAGGTATCAGCATGACCATATCCATATTAATAAATCAATTATAAGGACGACTGTGCCTCAAATCAACAGACTCTCTTTCTTTGTCTTTCCAGGAAACCCAGAGCCGACGCTGCAGTGGTTTCGGGATGGAGAAAAGGTGACGGAGGGACTCTTCATCATGACTCTGATCCATGACGTCACAGAGAGAGAGTACCACGGCTGCCTGCAGCTGGACAACCCCACGCACCTCAACAACGGCCGCTACTCACTCCTGGCTACAAACAAATACGGGACAGACCAGAAGGAGGTGGAAGCTCACTTCATGAAACAGCCCTGGGATGGTGAGGAGTCAGATGTTTCGAGAAATCGGGAATCTTAGCTGTATAGACGAGTGCTGAGAATCATTTATTCAGCAAGCTCAACATATCAAGGCAACACCTAATGAAATATTCTTTTTGTTTTGTATTTTCCAATGTGCAGGAACTGAGAAGGAACCGATTTATTATGGTGAATGAAACATGATCCTAACTACTAATGTCACGCTGTCAGTGTCTTCAGATCAATGTTTTTTTTTTTCTGTTCAATATCTCATCATTTCATCCTCCTCCATTGAGACAAATCACATTTTAGAAATTTTTCTCTTTCTCTTTTGTCCCTCAAGTTGCTGAGGGTGCGTTACATACCTACACATCCTTCAGCTAGACATTAGGCTTGTTGTTCTGTCTTTTGTGGCATCCATGCTGTTGTGATTCTCTTATAATATTGCTTTTTTTCTTTCATATATTGCGCATGTTAAATACATGTTTTTTTTATTTTTGAAAAACAAAAAAACAGGCATGACTGACGACATCATTTCCTGACGTGCATGCTGCAGAATTGACTGTTTTGACATGTTTGAAAGCTAATGTTTCTCTGCTGTCTCTTTCTCCAACACCTCATCCCTCCTGCAGATTTCATAACAGGTACTGCAAAGACTTTTATTTGCTTGCTTTTCAAAACCCAGTTAAATGACAAATAACTCAGCCCCCATCTCCAACTGACGTACTGTTGCTACTTTTGCTACACATACAGACTTTTCTGCTCATTGTTGACAAAGAAGCAGTTGGCAGGGCGACTTCATTACACCTGTATGCTTCTGTGACAGGCAGGACTTTACAGGAGAATAAAGTACCACCTTGAACTGACAATGTAAAAGGGGCTAATGAAAACAGCCAGCTGAAACACTCTGTTATTTTTAAAGTATTAGATGCTATATTTCAGACAGTGGTCGACAAATATGGGCTTTCCATTCAAATCCAGCCACCTAACTTTTTTTTCATCATCAGATTTAAACTGTTGCAGCTAATTTCCTAGCTAATCTTTAGCTAGCTCCTTATGTCCTTCTCCCCATCGGACGTATTTGAAATAAGAAGCATTTAAAAATTGTCTTACGTCTGATTGGAAACCACAAACAAGATTTTATGCAGAAACTCTGAGACTAAAACTACAGCTGGTTGAAAGTCAGTGGAAGATGGAAAAAAAAAGAAGGGCATGATCTTGCAACGCAGTGCGGAGCTTATAAGCGCTAATATTAGAACTCAGATAATAATAATCCGGTTTGGTAACTGCTCGAGCACTTTTGGAACATGAGAGAAAAGACTTTGAGGATGTGGGAGTTTAAAAGTCCTTCCAAATTGGACAGATAAGCTAAAGTTAGTCTGAACTCTTAAACAGAAGAATGTTAAAAAAAAAAAAACCTTCATGCATTGATGAAAAACAAAGTGACTCTTTTACGTAATCTGTAAAATAATGTGGTGTGAAAAAGTGCCTGTCTTTATATTGATGTTGATAGACTGAAGCCCAATTCACAATCCTTCATCTTGTGCAGAATTCAAATGATCTGCTTCGGGTTTGTGGACAGCTGTGATTGGACATTTGCTCTTTCCAACAATCACTTTACAAATTGCTACAAACGAACCACCTGGCGCTTCATTCACATACTGAACACGCTGTTCAACACCAGCACACTATATGTTTGTAGCAGCCGTCATTTGTCTTTAACAGTCTTTGCATTTAAGAAATTGAGTGAGATCAGGGCGCCGGATGGCCTAGCGGTTATGTCCCGTACTGTGGTCCTCGTCACAGAGGCCTTGGGTTTGAGTCCGATCTCGGCCCTCACTCCCCCCCCCCAATGTTTCCCGTCCTCTCTTCAGCTGTCCTATCCGATAAAGGCAAAAAATATCCAACAAAAAGTGAGATCATGTCCAGTAATTTGGGCTTGATTTGACCTCATTTGACTTTTTCAGTTGTGTGACGATAACAAGATAAAATATGTGAGTGGGTTTGAATATTTTCTGTTCACCGTCATTATCATAATCACCATTTTTGGGACGTTGGTGTAGGGTTATGTTGTAATTTCCTTTGTTTAATAAATCCTTAAAACTGATCGACTTGGATATGATTTGAGTACAAAGGAGTCACAGTTGCGAGCCCACTTAGACTCTCATTTTCGCATTTTCCAATCGGTGCTCGCTAGAAAGTTTTAAAGTGGATGTGATTTCAACACACACCTTCTCTTTGTCAGTTCCTCTGTATTTATTTTCCTCTCTCTCTCTCTCTCTCCTCATCAACAGAGGGCCCTCCTTTAGACCCTCCTAAAGACGGAGTCGCTGTAAGTCCTCTGCAGCTATTTCTCTGCTGATTGCCTCTGTCACTTGTTCCTGGTTTGTTTACTATTTCATTTGTGTCACCTGTCTAGAAAACAACTTGTCAGGGTCTGTTTTTTTTTTTCATGTTACAAATAATTGAATGAACCCATGACAACACAAGAAAATCTGCCTGGGGATTTACACCTTCTTGTGTTTTCCCAGGCCAGCCTCTTCTGGTAGGAGGTTTATAAATTGTGTTTTTCTCATCGTTCAGGTGTACGTGGTGGTGGGCATCGCTGCTGTCGCCTTGACCTGTTTCATTCTCATGTGTGTCGTTCTCAAGTTCGGAGGGAACTCCAAGTTTGGCATCAAAGGTAAGACTCTCTAAACTTCTGTCTGCATCCATTTCCTCCTCCATCCTATGGGTGAGAACCTGCCTAATCACTACAGAATTAATCCACAATACATTCAGAGAGTTCATGGCTGTTTGTGAGTTACTATCAAAGATTTGTGACATGGATGGCTTCATGGATACACCAAAAAAACAAAAAAGATTTTAGATTAATTTCACAAAAACAGCCAAATGAAAAAGTGGCATCAATAAAATAAAGGAGTTTTCTTGTGCTATTAAACATTAGCCCATTTCAGACTGCTGCTGCAAGTCGCGTCATTTACCACCCTGTGACGTTCCACCTTCAACCTGAATGTGGTGGAGGTGTAATGTGGGGATGAAGTAATCCCCCCTCTGTTCCGTGGGGGGTAGTAACAGAGGTGTTACAGAGGCGAGACAGTTTCAGTGCAGCGCTGTGTGTAGTGTGCATGCGGAGTCTGAAAATGGCTAATAACACAAGCCAAAGGTGATGAGAAAAGGCCATCCTCTCCGTCTTCTGCCTGCTCCACTTTTCAGAAAATGTGTGCTCAAACAGGCCGTTTGGAGATTTTCCCTTCATGACATCACAAAGGGCAGTAGCCCCTCCCCCAGGTGGGTGACACTCCCACAGCTAGGTGTTAGTTCTGCCCTCTGAGTCTGCCTTCTCAACGTAAACAATAGGACATGGAGCGAGAAAGCCTGAGCCGCCCCAAATCCTTTCAGAGAGGGGGCGTGGTCAGACACAGCTCATTTACATATTTAAAGGTACAGACACAGAAACAGCCTGTTCTGAGCAGGGCTGAAATAGAGGGGTTTATAGACATGATCAAATACAGGATCAGAGTGGATTTAAAACAAGAAACTTCACACATATTTTGAGGAGCTCTGAGACTTATTAAACTGGTTGAAGAGGAGGAGAATATGTGACCTTTAACATCCTCTTAAAAGCATCCAAATAGAGCAGGTTGCTAAGTTTCAGCTATTTTTCTAATTCTTCCATTTTCCCCAGAAGGTGTGAAGGAAGCAGACCTCAAATAGACTGGTAGATAATAAAACAACAGTGTTTGAGTCTGCGTGTTGGACATAGAAGACCATCCAAAACGTGATTACAAGAAGAGATGATGAGATAAATGTCAATGACTCATAGACTCAGATATATATATACATACTGTATATAGCCAACACTGTGACTCTTCTAATATTACATACAAACCATGTTGTATCCATGAATCCATCTTGCTCTCAGGTGGACACAGCGGCCGTCTGAAGGAGGTTTCTTTGGGTTTGATGCTGCTGGTGAATAACATGCATGTTGACTCTTCTGTCGAGTTGATCTAACTTCTGTCACAGCCGTTGTGGAAGACCTCCTTATTCCCACATGCACACACATGTCACCATGTATCTTAATCTGCCACTGATTTGATCTGATAACACAGTGTGACTTCTGCAATGGCTTTACAGTGTGACTAAACTATTTGTCATGCCGACGTAGTTGTCTTCGTCTCGCTCATATTGATGCTTTGTGTACTAACGGTAACAACTGAACAACACTCACTTCCTTACTTCCTTCCTTAAACTTTTACCTTTCCTACAAAGGAAAGGTAAAAGATTTGCTTCCCGGCTTTTCAGTTCAGTCGACTGAAGTTGAGTTCAGCGTGGTTACAGAGTGCAGGAGTCATGATAAGAGAGCAACACAAACTCAACTCTCTGAGGAAATCATTCTCAGCTCTTTAAGATAGTGTTGTTTTTGGAAGAAATAAACTTGAGACCATTAGCATTTAACGCAGCACTTCACATTTGACATTCAAATGACCCGAAAAAAATGAATTTGAATGAGGAAAGCATTTTTGAAAGTGTGCCTGTGCATGCATACGAGACTCTGAGTTGCACTGTAGAAGTGCAGTGTTTTGACATTGATTGATTGACGGCCTCCAGAGAGGAAGGGAGAGAGACAGATGGAGCAGCTACTATATACATTGTGTGTTTGTGTGTTTGTTTTTATGGTCGTGTGTGTGTGTGTGTGTGTGTGTGTGTGTGTGTGTGTGTGTGTGTGTGTTGTTTGTCTTATTGGTTTCTTCTTTCTCCCATAGAGGTGAATGAGTTTGCTCTGAAGGAAGTGATCCCTCTAATGCATCTTAGCATCCCATGTCTCTATTTATGTGAGTGTGTGTGTGTGTGTGTGTGTGTGTGTGTGTGTGTGTGTGTGTGTGTATTCCTTTAAATCTAAGCACTTTTGCACATGTGTGCTCTTCCACTCTTCTTTAGGATGTTGGGTTATATTACCTCATTGCCCTTCTGATTGTTCCCCTTGAGCTTTCATCCTCTCCTCTTCCTTCATTTGACTTCCTCTCGCCGCGCAGTCACGTCCCCGAGCTCCACACACATCCAGATGTGTGTTCCCTGCAGCGTGTTGACGTTGGGATGAGCGTGTGGAGGAGAGAGAGAGAGAGAGAGATCAAGAGATAGTTAGTGAGGGAGGTGGCGTCAATATGAGCAACAGAGTGAGCTGGAGAGATAAATGACTTTGAGTAATTCACAGAAACAGTGGCTCCTCCATAACCTGCTGTGTGTTTGGAGCTTCAGCATGTTTTGATAAAGTGGGCTGATGATCAAAGTTCATCTTCATGCAAACGCAGAACCCAGAAAGCTAATCCAATTCAAACACCACATGCACATGGCAATGTTTTCCTTTTTCTTAATCATAGAAATGTGCTCGCAGACGCACATCACCGCCCCCGCTTTAACGCAGGCAGCGCTGACGGCGACGACGATGATGATGATGATGATGATGATGAATCTGCGATCAGAAAGTGTGAAGAGAGCGCGTCATGGCATATTGAACAGGTGTCCATGAGAAAAGCTGAAGTCGCCTCACTGACTCGGGAATGAGTCCCCGTCAGTCTCTCTCTCTCTCTCTCTCTCTCTCTCTGAGAGTCGAGTCAAAGAAGCTGGAGCTGTTAGCTACATTATTTATATTGACTGCATTATTCTGCTCCTCTCATCAATAAACATGGGCAACATTTGGTGCACTGTGTCTTACTGCTTCTTGACACACAGAGACAGGACAACTTTTTTTGATACTGTACACGGTTACTGTGTGTTCGAAAGCACAGTTATATTGTTTAGAGAGGGAGTAATGTGCTGTGTTGTTGGGTGGCTGTGGCTCAGTGGTAGAGTCGGTTGTCTCTCAACTGGAAGGTTGGAGGTTTCCAAACTCCATTCGATCTGCAGAGTCCCTCTGCACCTTTAAGAAAAAGCTAAAGACCCAGCTCTTTCATGAATACCTACTAACTTAATGATGATGGTCTCCATATTATTGATGATGATGATGGTAATGACGATGGTTTTTGTTTGATAATGACGACTCATAAGATGGTTTCTATACTGATTAGAGCTCTCAAGAACTGCCCTCAATGTTGTGCTTTGCCTCTGGTCACTTCCTGTCAGCACCTGTGTGTCCAATCAGACTCAAAGCTGATCGTTTGCTCTTACTGACATTGTTTCCTTTTTTCTAGATCCTTGCTTGTGTTGTTCTTACTCTCTGATGTACGTTGCTTTGGATAAAAGCGTCTGCTAAGTGAATTGTAGAATGTCTGATGTGTCCTTGGGCAAGACACTTATCCCCAAGTTGCTCCCACTGCTTTTTGGGCATCGTATGAATGGGATTAGTTGATTAGTTAATACTGATGGTCACTTTACACAGCAGTCTCTGAATGTGTAGGTGTGACCTGCGGTGTAAAAGTGCTTTGAGTAGTCAGGAGACTTGAAAAGCGCTAAACAAGCCCAAGTCCGTTTACCATTAGCCTTGGCTCTTGACGTTGGAGTTGGAAAGAGCGTTACAACCAGATATGAGCACCTTGATACTTTTCTTGAACATTCAGTATGAGCAAACTGAAACCCTTTTTACAAATTTACCAGACGCTGAGCATCATTAGCGTTTCTTCTAACTAACATCTTTCCCCTCAGTTTTTGGTCTCCACCACCACCCGAGGAAATGATCCGACAGCTTTTAGCTCCGAATGCTCCACTTTGTTCACCAGGCAGCAAAGTCACTCTCTGATGCTAATGACGCTAATGAGAGCTGAGAGAGTCAAATGGAATAAACAAAGACAATGAGTCAAACATTCAAGTTTTAGGGGGGATACTTCATCCTCCTCAGGTGGTCGTTATTCGTGTTTAACTAGGATCTGAGATTGCCCTTTTCCAACCCACCAGTCAGTTGGAGCTTTCCCCCTTTCAGCCACTTTTTACTGCAGTAAAAAACAAGTTTGGTTCACAATCTTTAGAACTAAATTGTGTCCTGAATATTTTTAATGTATATTACTAAAAACTACTGTTCAGACCACCACTGTTCAACAAACCACAGATGTTGCAGTGAAATATTTGTCGTCCAACCCGAGCATGTCGGCGAGACCTCACAGGATATATACATTCAAGATTTATAAAGCGCCTTTCAAGAAACCCAAGGACACATTACAACCAGAAAGAAAACCATTTGTTAGCTGCTTAGAAGTTTCAGTGTGAGATTTAGGTGGAAATTTCTCTCCCACTTTCAGTCGGGGATCCATCGGAAACGTTTAACATCAAAGACGCTCGGAAATGAGGCTAAACCTACTCGATCAATACAGAATACCATTCACAAAGAGAGAGAGAGAGAGCGCAAGTACTATTTGGTGAAATAAGTCTGAAAGAGGGAAGTCGCTGCACCTTCTGAGTCCAGACTACAACAAGAAAGCTCCATGAAATTTGATTCTTTTGCCAGAATTTGCCGCACAAGGAAGGAAGACTTTAAACTGAAATACTTACAATATGTAAATGTTGGGGTGCTGGCTGAGTAGAAGATTGTTTATTTAGGGAGAGTAATTGAAATGTATATTCAGTTTGTAAGCGAGCTCAAAGCTTGAATTCTACGTGGGCTGCAAAAAGAAGAATAAAAAGCAGAAGATTTGGAGCTTGAGAAAAATGAATCACGATAACTAGCAGCCTGGCTGAAATGTGCCTCCT